AGAGTTCTCGTATCGATCTTGCTCGAACTCCTCGTTATTGGCTCGTAAAAAGAGCCAATTCCCCCTTCCCGCCCGAAAAACATTAAAGTCAGCAGGGAACGAGTAGTAAAGCCAACGTATCCCCTCCCCCCAAAAGGATGTATTATTCATGCCTCTGTGCGAAGCCCTCTAAGGAAAGTCCCTGTGGAAGCGTCCCTATTTCGGCTCGTCATACACCAAAGAATATATGATCTCCGAACAAGTAAAAAGAGAAGAAAAAAAAGAAACGAAGTCACGATGATCGAATATCACCCGTGATCGATCGTCTTTAACAGAAAGTTACGCTCATGTATTAATGTCGAGTGTTTTGATGGATGTAACCGATTCGTAAACAATCGACATGTTTCCCCTAATAAACCTGTAAGCGCGTAACCGAACTGTTAACTAGCTAATTACATTAACCGGTTACTTGTATATTGATGTCAAGTGTTTTGATGCGTAACAAATCGCGTAAACAATTGAAGTGTTTGCGCTAACATAATTTTAAAAGGGCGTATATAGAGTTGTTAACGTAATAATAATGTTATTAATAATAATTTAATTATTATTATTGAATGTAATAGTGACAATATATTGTTGAAACATTCATTATTCGATTTAACTCGATGAAAGTTCGTAGTTTGAAAGAATCTAGGCAACGATAATTAACGTCAAAATATCTCCGAATGCGAATTTCAGATTGAATTTGCACGAGATATTTGAAAGAGAAATCGATTTTGTTATTTCTAGAAAAATATCAATGTCGTCCAATTATTAAGATCCATTACCTTTTTAATCACTCTGCTCTCTAGTATACCTACATGTCTGTTTACCTTCTGTTCTGTCAAAATACATCCGTAATATATATACATACATAAGTAAACACGTATATACATCAGTTGCACTTTCCACAATTATTATTAACGACATAATAAAATACGATGACATACGGCAACACTATATGACGTCGACACGCGGCGGCTCGTAGGAAAAGCCGCAGCGCGGCTGTAAATTCTGCTTCCATCTGTACTTTATAAATCATGGAAGAACGTGTCGTACCTGAGTAAAATCGGCAGAACGGTCGCGATACGACGCGACATCACCTCGCGACTTAGAGCGCGACGTCGCACTTTCCAGAGCCGATTTTACTTATCTGTTTTTATTTATTTTTTTTTTCAAATCGGGATTTCTCCGAATCTTGGGAGACCGCGTCTCGATCGTCATTTATACGAATTTCTATCCGGGGAAATGGAACTTATCGATTCGCACACGATTCATCCACCTAGCCGAATCTAACGGGCGATATCGACATCTCTCTGATCGCGCATCGCTGCGAAAATCAATATAAACAACGTCCGTTATTTATTACCGATCGGAAATCCCGAGTCGGTTTTCATATTTCCGGCATTTAAAAATTTTTTAATTTGACTTTTTAGCGGCATTTTCAGCGAAGTAAAAATCACGTCGAATCGTAAAAAACCTTTCCGATATTGCAATATTATTAGCGTCCCTCGTCCGCGGCCGTGCACACCACCCGACCGCTTCTCTTTCGAGAGACGGTTACTCTACCACCCGTTTGGAGGATTAATTACACGTCGTTTCATCTCCACGGAAGCTAACTTCGGCCACCTCGTGGTGCCGGGGGTAGCTTCATTGCCAATTCCAATTCGAGAAAATCGCGGAAAGTACGGTACACTGTGCAAAGTTGCTCTCGACCCGGTTCCTCGGACTTACCGCGCCTGCAGCCTTTATATACGTTCGCCGTCACTTTCCAACGCAAACGGGAACGCCTATTCCCCGTACGCTTTAACGTCGACTATGCAATCCGCGGCGAGCGACAAAATTAGACGAAACGGCAGCGAAAGAATTAATTTGATATTATACATTGTCCGACCGCGTGACACTCGCGAAAGGCCGTTCTCTCCTGGCAGTCGTTCCGCTACGCGGAATAGTTGGACGTTTGTTTGAAGTTTATCCAAAAGGTAATTCATTTCAACTGCCTTTTTTTTTTATCCGCAGGTGATCGCTTTTTGTTTCTAGCAGCGTCATAAATCACCGCGCGATGTGAAACGTTAAATAAAAAGCCGTCTCTTGCATTCTGAGCTCTGCTGGAAATGCAATAATGTCTGGATTATAACTGGGTAGTGAAGAGAACACCCGGAAGGGTAAAAGCGCTTGTTACAGCTCGCAAAAGCATTTTGCAATATAACGCAAATAACGTTGTATTAATATTGAAGCATACAAATATATAACTTATGATTAATTACTATTTACAATAATTTCGTCTTTTACGACAAAATAGTGACAGATTATATTATCGGAAAAAAATAATTACATTTTATTATTTTTATATATTCTATTTCTATTATATACGCATGTAAATAATATAACTTAATTCATCGTTAAACTAGTTTCATTTCAGTTTCAATTTAATTTAAATAATATAATTTATATTCATATAATAAAGTACAATTCAAAATTATTATTAAATTTTACGAAAGTAACATCAGTTCGTTCGCGTTTCTCCCGAACGTCCGCGTCAGTTTTGGACTCGCACGAAACGTTTTAAATGAAACGAAAATGTTTTAAAAATCGTTTCAAAGTATTTTCTGGGCAAATTTATGGGCGACGGAGAGACACTCAGGATGCAAGAAGCGAATGGACCACCCTGCACCTAACATCTCGTTGTTGAAATCGAATAGGAAAACAATCGGGGTTAACGACGGAACGATTGCCCTTAAAATAAGTAACAATTTTTGCCTAACGAGGCAAAACAAACGAATAATTTATCCCTGGGGGGGTCTATTTATCCCGCTGGGATCTCCCCAAGTCCAGCGCGCGCGGTCTCACTCTCTCTTTCCTCCTTTTTCATAAGCTAACTTTCAATTTGCGGGCGCGAAAGCGAGTATACTGTGAACCCACATTCGCGGGATGGCGGTGCCATCCTTGAAATCCATTTTCACGGATAAATGAAAACTTGCTGAACTTTACATCTCGCGCCACTTTGCATACATCTGAAAAGTTTCGTGGAAAATTAAAATTTTCCCGCTACCTCAGCTATACCGCCACGAAATTTCAATTGGCTTGTCAGAAACGCGAGTCCGGGCACCCGGATTTTAATTAATGCGCGGCAAACCAAGATCGCAGATAGATCCCTTTAGATAGATTTTAAATTGTCATACCGTTAGGGTGATGTATAAGCGCATATTATTATCCGTTATGAATTTCGCGGAAGATTTATGAAAACATTTCCGAAATTAATTGCTACATTAAATCGTGTATGACAGATATTATCGCCGTGGAAATGATTCACGCTCTGTCATTAATTATACAATAATTTCACGGTTTTCATAGACGAAAAACGAAATAAAATGCGAGTCATTAAAATTCCCTTGGAAAAAAAAACCGCTCGCGAAACTTGTCAGACGTGAGTTTACCGTTTCCTCAGAGTTTCAGTTTCTGTCAGTCCTTAAGAGATGAATACAGTTGCAAGATGTAACGAACACGGAACTCCGGCTTTCTTTTCCGCCATTCACGCTGAAGATTTCTAATCCAAATTCATCTTTATCGCCTCTAGTTGTATATTTACGGAACACCCTGTGCATATCATACTCTCTATATCTCGGGGAAACAAAATAAACAAAAAACTGTTGTGAATATAAATCCGCCCCTCGATTTTATGAACACTTCTGTTTCGAATTTCGTTTATTGCAGGATCGTTGTTGGCTGTCAACAACGCGGCAACAACGGTCCTATATTGCGTTTACAAAATCCGTCGGTAAACATATCTCATTCGATATGCGTAAAAAGTGCGACTTGTGTGTCGGACGCAAATTTAGAAACATATTTTACCGTTTCCATTTCCATTATTTTGGGATTAAATCCAGAGATTTAGTCGCCAGTGTCTGATTTAACAGTAAGGCAAAATAAGAACAGCAATATAATCCTAAAATGGGGAATATTATGATTCGAAGGGATTAATACTTTCGCGAAATATCAAAATTATCGGTTAACAACTAAAAAGGGCCACTTCGACCAAGCTCCGATTAACTTAATCGTTGATTAGTCCATTGGAAATAAACCAATCACATTTGTCAATCTGCTTAATGAGAAAATGCAATTGGTCATTTCCAATGGACTAATCAACGATTAAATTAATCAGAGCTTGGTCGAAGTGGCCCTAAATTACCTATACGCGAAACAAACCAATGGTCAATAAATCGCGTGATAATCATTTGTTTTCTAAGCACTCTAAATCTAAATAAATCCCAGAAATAATGAATATTTATTTATTAGGACCTTTATTTTGGAATGATCCAGAGATTTAGATCGCCAGTCTGATCAGGGCAAAATAAGAGCACATAGTAATATCGAAATAATCCTAAAACAGAAAGTATCGATATTCGAAGGGATTAACCTTTGCAAAAGAGCAAAATTATCGGTTAACAATTAATTACACGCGAAACGAACATTCTGCGTACAGTAATTAGTCCGCCACAATCGCTGATAATAAAATAATTTACTTTCTAAGCATAATAAACCTAAATAAATCCCAGAAATAACGAATATTTGTTATCTAGGCTCATTCAGGGATATCCTGAAAAAAATTAATTCATTACATCCGTGGCGCGACATGTCGTCGCGCAAAAAGCGACATCAATATCTCGTAACAAAGTGCGTAGAAGCCACTCCGTCGTTGCGTCGGGTATATACCCGGGAATTTTCCAGTAACGAACGGCCGCATTGAGAAACACTGGTCCGAACGACGCCACGTCCTGCTGCCCTTTAGTCATCGAAACCGCTCTCCTCCCTTCCTGGCAGCCCTTAACGCCGGGAGCCCTCGGCAGTGGTGCGTTAAGTTCGGGGGGGATTCGTAGCCCTCGTAGGCCTCTCGCCAGCCGTCCGTGACGACGAGGGTGAAGCCGGTGAAGAACGACAGGCGCGCTGGGCGCGCGGCGTGTCGTACAGTCATGCGTGAGACCTCGTCGGAGTGAGTCACTTCGCCCCGCGCGCTTTCACTCGCTTCTTTCCGCGAGCTCGTCGTCCCCTGCCGGTTTTCGCGTCGTTGCGAAATCCGCTCGTCCCAGAGAGGAGAGGAGAGCGAGTCGTCGACACGGGCGCGCGCGAGATCGAGCGATCTCTCACCTTGCCGAGTTTACTGCGTCTTTGCCGGCCCCGCGCGCGTGCGCGTTTCGAGAGAAAATCGGAAGAAAAAGGCTGAGGCGAGTTCAGGGAAGCCGCCGATCGGGGGAGTTCCGATCCCACGAGCGGCGCCTGCACTGCTTGCAGTTGCGCGCGAGACGCCGTCGAGGTGACGTCGCGCTCGAGCGAGGTAACGGTAACGGCTCCTACGAGGGGATTCTCGGCCACGGGGATCTCGCGTGTTTACGCCGGATCTGATTCGATCGCCCGGTCAGTTTGGGGATTGAAACGTTACGAGGCGACGGGACGCGTAGGACTACAGCTGCACCGGTAACAGCGGCGATAACCTCTTCGGAACAGGCGGTACGTGCTGTGTGTATACGTGTTTGCGTTGCGTTTGTATTTTCGTGACGTATATGTCCTTTTTTTTTGGTCGTTCCGCTTGGAGTTTTTATTTTGTGGTGACGCGCCGTGTCCGAGAGTGTCGATCTCGCGATCGTTCAACGTGAAGTTACGCGGTAAAGACGCGAGAAATTCGCCTTTGTGATGCGGCGACGGATTCTCCATTTTGAAGTTCGGACGCGGTCCGGATTCTCCGCAAAGTTCAGTGACGGAATCTCGGAGGTTCTGCTCGAGAACGCTTTCTATCTTTTCAATCCCGTTTGTTTCTCTTTTATTCGCGATCTCGTGATCGATTACGAGCGGTTGATCGCAAACGCGCCGTGCCTCGATAATTCGTCTTGGAAGTAACTTCGTCGTTTCATTTCACGGCGACGCATTTTTTCCCGCAGTTTATCGGATATATCACGGAAAATACATCGCGCGCGCGCGCGCATAAGGATTTCGCAATCTGTTCCGTGAGTAACTCGCGGAAGAGATCGATTCACGATTATCGGCTTGGCCGGACGCCAAATTCGCAATTCATATCCGCGCGCAAGCGGTCGATTTCTAATCGTAAATTTTCGATTCGCGCCGGTGAATATCGCGCGGGGAATCAATCGGCCGGTCTAACCGTCTGAAATTCGCGTCAGACTCGCTCTCGATTACGAAATTTCGCTGCAACTCGATCTTCGGCCGCGCTCCAACTTCTCGCTGACTTCCCTCGGAAATTACGAAGCCGAGGTTTTTCAATTCCTTTTTCGGATTCGAGCTCCGGCAAACTTAATTTTCTCAATTCTTTTCTTTTAGAAACAAATTGCTTCTTTTTTTTTTATCTCAAGACTGAGAAAGCGAGAGATGGTTCGAGAATATTTAGCGGACACTTCGGTGTATCGCGTATTCTGTATGGCGAAGTAATTATCGGATTAAATAAACGCGCGCATGAATATCTGTTTTGACTCTCCAATTTGTAAGTAGTAAGATTGAAATTAAAATTAAAATTCATCGAACGTCGAGGCTACCGGGAAGGTAGAATAATTTTGACGAAAGAAACGCGTCGCCGTGCGCCGCCGGTTGAAAAACACTGGTCGAAACTCGAAACTGCGTACCACATAGGGGGAATCGTCCTTTTTTTTTTTACTACGCAACGCGTCTGCCCTTGAACAGGCTAAAGGAAGAAGGGAACTCAGCCGGGAGCGCGTCCGCGCGCGCGCACGTATATATACAGGACGATTCACCGTTCGGTGACTTTGTAGAAGCGGTGATGCAACTCGCTCCTGGAGAGGAAGGAAAAGTCCGCGATGACGACGGTGTAACGGCGCGGTTCTAAGTCGAGCTTCACCTTGCTAACTTCAAGCCGCCTCGCCCTCCGCTCCCCACGCTCTCGTCTCGTCCCTATTGGCGCGTAGTGTGTGCGCGAGCGCGCGCGATATACGGAGTACGAACATACGTATATGGTTACGATGGTGTGAGTGAGATCGCGCGTGCGGATCGTTCGCGGTCTCGGCGGCAGCCTGTAGCTTCGTCCGCGGCAAGCATCTGGTGGTTGGGGTATTCGCGCGCACCGTAGAAGAAACCGGAGGAAGAGGGATCCGTTTACCACTCGACGCCGACCGTCCGACTTCCCGGACCGACGATGCGGCCCCTCGGGAAGTCATCGTGGCGATGGGCCATCAGTGAAGTAGGTGAGTACGAACAGTAGGAAGTACGTATACACCGCACCGTGCGAAGACAGCGTTTCTGGCCGCGGTCGACATTTTTCGAAATTAATTTTTCGCATCGGGTGAAATGCCGGCTAAAAAAGCGTTGAAACTTTGCTTCGTCCCGACTTGGCATAAGTAATGGTAGCGTTCTCATTGTTGAATTACAAGCGTTTTGTGAATAATTATTCCAAGCATTTTAAACACATAATATTATTATTATATAATAACATATAATATTATTATAATATAATAATGTAGGTATAATATTATTATATTATAATATATATTATAATATGGATAAGAAATTGAGAGATATGTATTAAAAATAATAAATAGAGATGCGCGTTCAAGACAAATTTAATTAGAAAAGACATTTAATAAATAATTTAATCGTAACATTTAATTTGAAAATAATTTATTTTATCTTATGATTTAAAATACATTTTTGAAGAACGTTTATATTAATACCTAGGATGATTCGGTTTGAGTATTTATCAAAAATTTATAACCAAATGAGCTACAATTAGGATCTAATAATCCAATCCGATTTGTATCACTCATGAATATATAATATATAATCGTACTATTTACGATATATGTCTGCAAATGTCTGCAAAACAGACGTATATCATAAATAGTAAATAGGCGAATGTACATGCGTATATATGTGCGCGCGATTGGAAAAGCAGCAATTTTATTTGTCATCGGAAGCATGCGCCGCATAACGATCTGAGAATGTATAAATGAACATTTATACCGCAAGGGAACTCATAATTTATTTATGCATTAACTCACGTGGAGCGTTAAGAATTTTTCTGCGAGCAAGTGGAATTCATATATATAGGTACGTTTTAATACGTTCCCCTCTGTTTCACGGCTGCACGCATTCGCAAGCCTGACTGACATTTAACTAAAAGTCGGCGGACGTTGTTCACTTAATCCAGGAAGAGAAACGCGTTTCTTCAAAAGCGAATTGACGGTAATAGGGAAGTATGCGTCTTCGTACGGGATAAGAAAAATGGCGCGTGCAGCGTTGTACAACTCGCGTGTGATTAAATGGAAACCCGAGATCGCTGTCTTCCACGTTGATAAATCGCGTCTTCGGAATGAGCGCGGGAGGAACTCAAAAAGATGCTCCGAGAGAAACCGCGGGGCATATCCTCGCGCGCGCGATCGATGCGCGAGGACAACAAATGATACTGCTAGAAGGGGAGCGCGCGCGATATCCTGGAAAATTGATTTTTTTTCCGAATTGTCGAAGTGAAACGATGAAGTCGGAGGTAATATTTTTTTTCTCCTCTCTCTCTCTCTCTCTCTCTCTGTCTCTTCGGGTAATACCTCGACTGCGTGCGGAATTTTTCAGCGACTTACTCCGCGACGTTTCATTAATATGATAAAATGGAACATCACGAAGATTCTTAACCGAGTCTCTCCCCCGCGCCGCCGCATTCCGTGCTGCGAAAGGCGGGGCGATATCGAGGAAAGATAATTTCAACAAATGGATTTCGCGCGACGTCAGTTTAACGACACGCTTCCCGTTAATAATTTCGTTGCGGAAACGTGATTTTCGCTCTTCCCCTCGCGCACTGGCGGATGATAAACACATTTAATTTCGATCCCGCTGTAAACTGGATGTTCCGACAGACAAACAGACAGACAGACACGGGTAGCGGGTTTCTCTCATTCCGGAGATACGAAATGCCTCGAATTGTTTCCACCGACGTAACGAGATTGCGTCAACCGTTGCGTACCACGATCGTTGCGCGCGGGCGAAGTCGATGGAGAGAAGCGCACGTAGATGACGTGCCCCGCCGACTTGGGGCGAAGTTACGTTGTAATCTTCTTACAACCGCGGAGAAACGTCGGAACTTGGACGCGTCGGTCGCGTCAATAAACCATTAGCACGAACGTAAACTAAAAGCCGTACCTACGGGAACTGCAACGTCGCGTCGGTGGCCGTCGAAAGCGCTTTTTCCCTCAGTCCCGAATTCGCGCGTTTGCGGGAGGGAGGATCCGATTGTGTCGTGAGTTTGAAACTACTTCGATTTTTTTGTTTTTAATACGATCGGCAATGGAAATTTGGCCATACTTTGCCACGAGATGCAATATTCATCTAGCTCAGCTCTAGCATGCTATTCTCGACGTTATTGCTCAGATGAGTCATTGTAAATAAAATAATTATTACTGTTATTATTACGTAATAGTAATTATATATTATTATCTATAGATTATTATTATTATTATTATTATCTTTCTCTAAATCTGAATCAGTGAATAGTACTGTGAATCAGTGATTAGTCACTGATTCAGATCTAGAGAGTATAGATCAAATTAAGGTTTTCATATGTGCATCTCCTGTCGCTGCGCGAACGACAGAAACGCGAAATTAATTGATCGAAATACAAACTTAGAACTTTCTCCAAATTCAACAATTAATTTTGTATAAAATAAATTTATTTGGCTTATATATAAATAGGCCACGGATTTGATGATTTAATTTTAATAGTCTCTTTATCTTTAAAATATACTCTGGACTGCGCTTTGAGTTTAAGTTTAGCGAAGTATGAGTTTAGTGAAGAGAGTAAGTTAACGAGAATACTATACAGAATTTTACAAGGAAAGATTATATCAAAAGCAACATTCTTAAAGCGAATTTTAATTGGCCATTCATTCCTTTCATCTGTCACCTTAAGTAGATTCGATAATTAAGTCGTAAATTACTCGATGTTCTTTACAGTCGATCCTAGTAAAATTGTCGCAGGAAATCCGTAAAAGTTAATTGAAGAATCATTTACAGCGGAATGTTACTCCCGGAATTTTTATTATCTCTTCGCAAACTTAAACTTAAAACGATGAACATTTCCAATTTGGAATGTAAAATAGTTAGAACGTGAATAGACTTATGATTCAGAAATATTCTATCTATTTCGCTACACAGTAAAGTCCCCTATTATGAGATAGGCTCCTAGAGGTTTCTGCTAAACTAATAGGTTCTATCTGTTGGTTCCATCTACTATTGCCCTTAGAGTAAAACCTATTTAGTGGAAAATTTATTATTCGATCGTGCGTGCGTGCACTCGCCTACTACATTTTTCAAATGCATAAACTTCCGGCAATCACGCAAAATAGATGTATTTCATAATAGGGGACTTTCTTCTATTATTTATCGAAGGAACAATTCTAAAAAAACATATATTGTTTTAAAAAAAAATTACGGTATATTGAAAATTTTTTCTACTACAACAAAACGAACTGTCGCAATAAAGCGGCGTAAGATTTTTAGTTTTATTAATTTTGATTTTTTTTTTACATTTATATGTGTATTGAATCATAATCAATTTGCACATCAATACGATGCGAGTATACACGGAGAAAATTTTATAGTAAATATTACTATGGTGTCGCACTAGCTGCGGACCATCGAGGAATTTTAAGTTAAATTACTATGTTTATAGTAAAAATTACGTTATTTAATCGTTTTTAAAACAATAATTATAGTATTTTAACTTGAAATTCCTCGATGGTCCGCTGCTAGTGCGACACCATAGTAATATTTACTATAAAATTTTCTCCATGTACATATAATTATCACGTAAAATCCTAAATCTTGAAGAACAGCATATTTCCAGCTATAACTTTAATACTAAATAATATATATCTTATATCTTTTTTACAATCCGTATTCTATTCTACTGTATTCAGTACTATTTTTATCACAAATTCTTTTTTGCTCGCTAATATAATTAATTATTCGAAGAACAGGGTGAATAATTTAGCGCGGTAAACTAATTTTACCGGATTATATATTTATCGCCATTTAAATATTTTATCGTTTAAATACCTATTCACGTTCCTATATATGCGTGTGTATAAGTACATTCACCTATAAGTGTTTATACTATATATTCTATCGCTGCTTTCGGAAAACGGTTAAAAGATTGTGATGGACTGGTGTCGCAAAATTGGTTATTTCAGTTGTTTGCCGCGGAGAAAATTGAAAAAGCTACGATCCGAGGTAACGCAGCCATGAAATCGCGCACGTTTAAACAGAATGTATATGTTCACGGTTATTCCGCGACAATTCCTTTTCACTCACGAGCGGCTATGTTATTTGAGTATTTCTTGTGAAAACGTACGTATGCATTCAGAATTAAAAAGATATATATATATATGTACATACAGAATTTCACATGATTTTTCGCTTGACCTTTCGCGTCGCGCACACCGTTGGGAACGATTTCTACGTTCGCGTTCACGTAATTAGTAGATAACGCAGGTAATGAATGATAATTAAATGGCATTGCGTCACGGTTAAACGCGGCGATCCTTGCGCGTTGCCTAGTTTCCGTGGAGAAGTGATCGTAAAATGGGACAAGAATTAATCGATACATTTCATTGTGGTTTTCAACGAATTTAATGATTTTCACTCTCCTCTTCTCTCTCTTCCCTATTTCAGCTTTTGTGCGTATTATTACTGTAATTCAATCCCTCTCCGGGCGAGAACGCAATAATTTACAGTTCACAATTCGCAAATTCCGTAGTCGCGTTATTCTCAATTGTAAAAATTTTTCACTTGCAAATTCAAACTGACGTGGCTTAGAAACGTCCGATGTAATCCGGACACGGCTCTGTACTGAACGTGCCATTGAATATGGTAATTCAATACTGATAGTAATAAGATAATGGTTCTGAATGAACCGGTTTGTACTAGAAACATGTATTTTACATAATATGGAAATGTCGAGATATTATGATGAAATTAGTATTCCATGAAAATTTCGTGTCATTTCTTTTTTTACTAAAGAATTGAACTGATTAATATTCTTATTCAAATGGGCTAAATTGTTACGTTGATAGCAATCTATAATGATATTTCCTTCTATAAAAAAAAGACAAGATTGCACGAAATTTGAGTGTACCACGAAGTGTGGTGGAAATAGAACTGGACGTATAAACAACAAGAAATTAAATGACACAAAATT